GTAATATGGTTATCTATCTTACACACTTAAATATACATGCATTTATATCCTTTAGAGCACTTTCTTTTCCTCTCTTTTGTACAATGACAATTACACATTTTGGGTTTTATTACTTCCACAGTTCTTATTACTTTTTTTGAAGAGAATAAAACCAAATGTGACATAAGAAAACAGTCAGTCAAATCAAAACGATGGACATAATACATACTGTAAAAACAAAATACAAGGTGATCAACATTGGTTACCATAATGCCTCTTGCTATCTTAAAAAGAATTGCCATATCATCAGTTATAAAAAAATTGAACAAAATGGTAAAGAACAAAACCAATAAAACCAAAACATTGGAGACATTACAGGACTTCAAAAGAAGATAATAGTCAAACCAGGATGGCGTCATAATGAATCTTATTGTCTTCACAGTTGTTGCCTATACTCTCAAACTTGGTAGTATCAAGCAAAACAAAATAGAGGAAAATCAGTCAAAACAAGATGGTGAGAGCAATACAGGATTTCAAATCAAGTTAATAGGAAATCAAAGTGGGTTACTATAATATATCCTGCTATTTTTTATTTTTCCCTTAATTAAAAAGATAAAAAGTAAATAATAATAAAGGAGATTGAGATAAAAGAGGACATAACAACAAAACAGCACAGTTCAAAACATAGCCATTTAAGCAAAATAGTATTTCACCATCAGATAGCCCGACATAAAAGTAGTTACCTTAGTGTCTCTTTCCTTGAAATCTTTGAATATAACTTCATATATTGTAGCATTAAGCATATCAAGACAATGTAAAACCATTCAAGAGAATGACAGTATTACAGGTATTTAGAACCAACTAACAGAAAATGAACAATGTTTTCTGTATAATCTCCTTGTCTATAAAGGTTTTTGTTTGTATTATCACATATAATAAAATCCAATAAGATACAACATGTTAAGACCGATGGAGAGAGAACAAAAAATTGATGGGACTTCAAAACAAGATGATATTGAATCAGCACTAGCTATTATGATGTCTTGTTTTCTCCAAAATAGCTGTTCCTACCATCCAACCTTCTCTGCCTCATTTCTGTTGAGCTCTTTTTCTGTTATTAGTTGTCAGTTTGACTTCTTCATTTTGCTTTCTGCTCCATTCATTGTGGCCGCTCTGCCATTGTTTCTGGAATCTTGGTATTTTTCTTTTTTTAGAATGTCCTGCAGTATTCTCTGTAGAGTTGAATTGGTGGTTGCAAATTCCCCTAGTTCCTCTTTATCCTGGAAGCACCTTGTTTTTCCATCAATTTCTAGGGACAGTTGTGCAGGATATCTCAATCTTTGCTAGAGGTTATTATCTTTCAAAGCTTGAATTATTTCTCCCCATGCTCTTTGTGATTTGAAGGTTTGTGCCGAGAAGTGTGCTGTAATTCTGATGGGTGTTCCCTTGTAAGTGATCTGTTTATTGTCTCTGACGGCTTTTAATATTCTATTCTTATATTGGATTTCTGGAATTTTGATTATTGTATGCCTGGGAGTAGTTCTGTTTGGGTTGTAGGTGGCTGGGGTCCTGTATGCCTCATACATCTGAGTATCTTTACCTTTTGCTAAATTAGGGAAATTCTCCTGGATTATTTCTGTGAATAGCCTTTGTAGTTCATTTGTTTGTGTCCCTACTTCTTTTATGTTCTTAATTCTTAAGTTATAGATCCTCTTATCATCTTCAAGCTTTTGTATTATTGCTGTTTGTATTCTTGTTACTTTTAAGAAGTTTTTCGTTTCATGCTCCCACATTATAAATCTGTCCTCCAGTTCAGATAATCTATCCTTAGTTTCTTTCAAGCTATTATGCCAGCTTTCAGTAGAGTTTTTAGTTTCCTGGTAATGTCTTTGAACCTGCTTTACATATTCTATGTTTTCTCTATTTTCTCCATCAAACAATTCTCCCCTTTTTTTCTGTTCTTCCATTCCACCATTTGTTTTTTCTTGGGTGGTGCTTAGCATTTCTCTAATTATTCTACTTATATCTTGCTTTAGGTCATTAAATACTTCACATTTGAACTCATCTATAAGGCGCTGGAGATATCGCTTTATGTCTATTGGTGCCATGTCTGATATTGCATGTTTTCTGTCCTCATTCTCCTTTGCATTTACCTTTCCTGGATCAGTGTGCTCAGGATTGGGGGCTGAGGACCCTTTCTTGTTGCTTCCTCTTCCCATACTTTTTGTTCCTTCCATACAATGTATAAAGGAGGCCCAGTTTCTTTCTTTGTCAGTTACAGTTTGTTTGAATTGCACTGGCTAGGTGTTCCTGCCCACTGCAGTGTACTAGGGAGACACAGACCTGGGCAGCCTCTGCTGGGCCTCCCCCTCCAGGTCAATCAACCTACTGAAGGCTTCACTGCTAGAGTGCACCTCCAGGCGCTGGGACCTGGTTTGGGCTAGCCTACTGGGTCTTAGCTGCATCACCCAGGCCAAGCGCTCCCCACCAATCCCGCATGAGAGGGGAATATTTGACTAAAGTCACTGCAGTGTCCTGTTCTGGCTGGTCTGCCCAGTCCCAGAATGTCCTCTGTTGGAGCCTCCTAGTCTATGGAAGGGTCCCTGTTCCTCTCATCACCGCAGGTCGATGCAGGGCTCCCTGGCAGTCCTGCTCTCAACTTCGTTCGCCGATTCCCGCTTTCAGAGGTTTCGCGTCTCTCTCCCTGCTGTGCCGATCCAGACACAGCTGCAGCAGCAGGAAATTCAAATCGCCGCTTCCAGAGGCACAGGTTCCAGCTTCATCGCTGAGATTTTATCTGTTCCAGTTATAGCACCAGGACTGCATTTCCCGTTGGTTTCTCTCAGCTTAGTTCGTTCCTGGGTTGGCAGGGTATATCTCCCCTTGCTTAGGACTCCTCACACCACACCATTCCTGGATTCTAAGCTGGCTAACTCAGAGAGCCTCTATAGCTGCTGTTATCTATCTGCCATGTTCTCCTGGAAGTCCTGCACAGTATATCTCAATTGAACCTTAAGTGTTTTAAGTTTTCCAAGTATATCATCCCCAAAATCAGATATTGCAATGATATATTCCTTGACTATCTTTATATTAGCAGATGCTGATACTTTCTTTTTAAATATGTGGGTTTCTAATTGCGTGTTCAGAGTTTCATACAACTTAAATAATGTCTTATGATATTATCTACAGACATTTCCAGAGATTAAAATTGCCATAATTTCAGGTAGCAACATATCAATCATAGACATCATTTATCAGTGATTTATTTACACTTAAGAGTTAGTTAATACATTTTTTAAATAGTTTCAGATGAAGATTTCCTAGTGAAACTTCTACTTTTTGGCTCCTATTGCATCCAAACTGCAGTTTAGGGTGAAGATTACCTATAAGAGTTAGGGATGATATCAAAGTCAACTTGGTAACATAATTTATTAATTCTATCAGTTTAATAGCTCATCTTTTGGTTGAAGATCAAACCATCTTTAACAGCTTCTCCCTTCTTCAGACAATCCTTCAGGGACATTAGTCAAAAGTCATTGGCTTCCTTAGTCAAGGTCATGATGGTGATGCTGCTGATAACTCTTTTATTAGCACAATCCTTTTTCCTAGCATCTACCCCTGTCAGTCTTTCAGTCATTTTAAATTTATTATCCTTCATAAGAGACTCATCTTTCAGTCCTCTAAGAGTATCGTCACCCACAGTTTTATCCTGTTTTTATGACTCTGCCTTCAATTTCACCAAACTTCATATTTCTTTTATGAGTTCTAGCATTTTGCTCCACTATGTCTTATTTCCTTTCCATGCTGGTTATTCCCACTGTGCCGCCCTACTACCTCGCCTGGATTCCCCAGCCAGCCTTTTCAGCACTGACTGGCCATCCCTTCTTTTCTCTGTCACATCTGACCTGCACTGTCCCTGTGTAGCATTGCAGGCTACTGACTGAATCCATGCAAACAAAGTGGTGCTCTTAAGCTCTCTCATTTTTATGATATAGTTACTTAAGGAGCTCATAGTTTAGTGTGGGAAATGGATAAGAAACAAATAATTATTGAATGTGATCCGTGTCTATAGCAGACAAAAAATGAATACATTTGAAGCTTAGACATAGAAATATTTTAATCTCTGTGAAGTGTTCCCCAAATAATATAATATTAAAAGCATAGTAAAATCTCTTCAGTTGCAGATCACACAGTGTTCAAGATGAGCAGGCAAATGTTAGTAAAATTTCTTTATTTTGATCATAATGTATCAATTCTTCATATACACACTATTTTTTTTGTAAAATAGTCCATGAGCCATTAAAAATGGAAGAAAAATAGCCATTCTTTTGTTGACCACTAACAGGATTAATCTAATTTTATTTTTCTATTTCATTCTTTCTGTTTTGCAATGTAGTCTGCCAAGCGTGCTCATTTTCCTTTATTCCTTAGCCACCTTATATTTATATGACTTTTAGATCTGGAAGGCCACATTAACATTTGCTTTTTCATGTGCTAGTTTTCCTATGTATGTCTTCAGAATTAAGAACTATGCTATTGAGATCAGATAAACTTTACCAAAATAATTCATGAGAGGATTAAATGCATCAGATTCATAAGCATGTTTGTTGCCTTAATGATACTTGTAGGTGTGGTTTTTGGTTCATATCCTTCAGGAGAATATAGCACTCAATTGTAGAGCTAAAATTAGTCAAGAGTAAAGATTTTTCGTGTTTGATTATTAGAGCAACATGACAGATGCATTACAAGGATGAACTTTGCTCTTCTCAAAACTGAGAAGTAGTAGCTGTGAATTCTGCTTTTGAAGCATGTCACTTCATTGTTGTGATATGCATTTTCTTGTATTTAGGCCAAAACAAGTAATATGTCTCATTATTCCACAGTATAATATAATGCTAATGTATTATTTTCCTCTTACATAAAGCATGCTGTTTATTCAACAACATTTTTAAAATATGGATGGAATTGTTTAGATATGCTTTGAAGAAACAGTTTGATTTTACCCCTTCTCCTGTATTCAGGTTCAAAACATTATTTGTGGCTGGAGAACGATGTGATGTGGAGACCCTGGAATGGTCCAAGAAGGTCTTCAGAGTACCTGTCCTAGACCATTGGTGGCAAACTGGTGAGCATTTTCCACACGTGTATATAAATGTCAAAATGTTTACAAATTCTGCAAGAACTGGAGGAAATTCTATCTACGACTATGAGGGACTGACTCAGGATTCAAGTGATTGTGGTTTCAGTAGAAATTGATAATTCTGTGTCACATTGTTAATCATATGTGACCCTGGGACCACCATTCCCTTGGTCTCTAGGTTCAAAGCACTAATGACCTCTTTGTCTTATCTTCTTTATTTTCTATGTTCAGAAAGTTACCAAAGGTCAGATTTTTCTTTAGTTATCTTTTTAGTTCCTACAATCTTCAAAATTTTACTGCCTTTGAAGTATGGAAAGAGAATCATCATTGGCTCCAATTTAAATTATCCTTATAGCTTCCTCTTGTCCTCCCCATTTTGTTATGCAGCCTGCATACTGCTTCTGGAGTCCTTTTGAAAAGCAAAAGGAGTTGAAGCATCAGAATCCCTGCCATCCTTCTGTGTTATATGCAGCCTAATTTCTTCTATGTAACTGCTAAGGCATAAAAAATTTGTTTTTTGCACAAAGCAATTATAATAATATATGTAGTTTACTTACTTACTGGCTTTGTTTATTCTCAGTTTTCCTCAGACAATTGATCCCTGGGAAACAAATTTTCATAGTAAGTACACAGCATATAAGTTTTGGGGCAAGGAAATAAGGGGAAAAGAAAAGCTGCTTATTCTGAGGGAGAGCTGTGCACGTACGTGAGAATGGATAGATGGTTTAGAATCTGTTTTCCTCCTTACTGAGGACAGGGCTTGTTCCCTCTGACCCAGGGAAAGTAGTTATGGAAGTGCTCTAGCCTCCTTAGGTTCATATTTCAGTTCAATTCCACTTACTTCTATGTATTATGCCAGCCTTTTTTATTCCTTTTTCACTGTCCTCATTTTCTGATTACTGGGAGTGACTTCAAATTTGTATTAAAATTTAATTAAGCTTCTTTGCAAAAATTAGCTCTGATTGTACAGTGGTTGTCTTCTTGAATATCAATGAGATAATTACAACAGATTCTAGGTTTTATAGTTTGGAGATTTTGAACCTGAAAAATTATACTTTTATATTATCTCCCTGCTTATTGCTCTTTGGACAAATGTGTGCACTATATACTTTGTAATATGAAATAAAAAGCATGATCAGAGCAGAAGATATATTCCTTACATAAATCAAAATCAGACACAAAGTTTCTGTTCTCTCCTGTATAATTGAGTAAAGGAAAAATTGATCATCTATTGTTCAGACTTGTAACTAGGCATTTCAAAAGATAAGATCATATTGGAAGAAAAAAATCAATGATGTGTATAGAAATACATAAAAATATGAAGAATTATTATCTCAGCAACAAAAAGTGTTTGTAGTGCTGATGCATTTCCTTTTATACAAGAGAGCTTTAATGTTCTTTTCCTGGGTATAAACTGGAAGATATTTTGTCACCTTTGAGATAGCGTTCTTTCCCTGATCAAAATGGAGTGGTTTTTTTTTTCCATCCGTTAATGACCTTATGTAAGTGCTTGCTAAGAGTTTTATTTGTGACTATTCCAAAGATTGTTTTAGAAGCCAATGCTTTCAAAAGTAAAATTATGAATTACTTCTTTACTTATGGCTATAATAGTCTGAGTAGATGCATGCAGTGAGTGCATTTCTGTTTACATGAAAGCCTGTGAAACCATCACATGATGGTGTGTGTTGAGTTTCACGTAAATTTGCAATTTTTCTTTAGTATATCATACAGAGGGGATTAAGAGTCATTTCCTATTACTGGAGAAAATGGGATTTATACAAATAAACCGATTTCTACAAATGAAAGGACTTCTTCCCATTTCTCTCATTTAATTTTACAGCTTTTTTTAAACTATTGCATTCTATTCAATTTATTCCTTTATTATTCTATTCAGTTGAACTAACTAAATACTTCCATGTAGGTAGATTGGTAGATGGAAACATAGTGTTTTATTTTGTAAAATAATTTCATTCTAGGTGTTGCAGATGTCAGCTACTACATTTATCATTTTCTATTCATATATTTAGGACTTATAAACTGATACAGATGTTCAGCATTTGTAAACATTCTATTTTTAATGTTATATTAAATTGTTAAATCATTAGGAGAAAAAGTCAATTACTGTATTGGTGATTATTAACTCTTTGAAAAAATGGTGCCATATTTCTGGCACATCTGCTGTTTAACATATTGAATAGAGCATAGCCATGCCCCAGGAGGTGTACTTATAAACACCACATATGATTAAGTGGACTGTAAGGCTTGACCAAAGAAAATTTTCTTTATTTCAGCTTTTATGTCTCTGGGGATCCTCCTTCTTGTTACTTTACCATTAATTAACTTACAGGTTACCATTAATTAACTTATAGCCACTTACAGGTTTTTATGGACCTTTCATTCATTCATATATATATATATATATATATGTATATATATGTATTTATATATTTATATATGAATAATTCATGAATAGATATTTGGTCACCTTAATATAAAATCATAAATAGATCAAAGATCTAAGTATTAAAACAATCTGGTAGAAGATAGACTAATTAAAACCTTTGCAGACATAGGTATAGGCAAAGATTTTATGGGTAATACATTGATTGCACAGGAAATATTAAAATAATCAGCAAATAAGATCCCAAGGAATTGAAAAGCTTTAGCACAGCACATGAAACCATCAATAGAATGAAGAGGAAACCACAGAAGGGGGAAAACATTGCCAGCTACTTCTTAGGGGACTAGTATCTAAAATGTATAATGAATTTAAAAAATAGATTCTCAAATTTAGATATCTGATGCAAAAATTGGCACTGAAATCAATAGACACTTCTCAGAATAGGTATAGATAATCAATGAATACATGAAAAGTTGTTCAACAACACTGATCATTTTAAAAATTTAAGCTAACATTGAGATTCTATCTCACTTCAGAAAGAATGAATGTCATCAAGAGTTCAACCAATAACAAACTGTGGTGAGGCTGTAGGGATAAAGAAACTCATCTCTACTGTTGGTGGGAATATAAATTGGTACAGTTACTATGGAAAATCAGCATAGAGATTTCTCTTAAAACTAAAAATAGAGGTTCCATTTGACTTAGCTATTTTCTTTTTAAATATATTCCAGAAAGAGTTAAAAATCATCATATCACAGCGATACATGCATATATATGTATGTGTATAGTAGCAAAATTTATAATAGCTAAATCTTGCATATAGCACATATGCCCAGTAACAGATAAATGGATAAGGGAATTGTATAAACTTTATTACATTCAGCGGTGTACTACCCAAAATAAACCTTAGAAATTTTTGAGTAAATGGATGCTCTTCAAGAGCATAATTATAAATGAAATAAATCACACACATGAATTTAAATATTGCACTGTTTCTTTTGTGTGAGAAATCCAAAGTATAAAAAGTGAGCAAAACAAGAGGATAGCTATTAGGAAGTAGGAAGAATTTGTTCAAGTGGAAAGAGGAACAAGAGACAGGGAGAGGAGAAAGGGGGAAGGAAAAGAAAAGAGATTTAAAGAAAAAATAATTTAAAACATGAAAATACATCAGAGGTTTTGTAAACTTGAAAGGGAGAAAGGATTAGAAGGGCAAGAAGGGAAAGGGATAAAGTGAGAATTGAGATGTTATATACATGTACAAATTATCCATGATGAATGTGTTCTTTATGTAATGCAAACATGTACTAACAGTGTGTGTGTGTGTGTGTGTGTGTGTACAAAGGAGCTATTATGAAATTATGATGTATAATTTGAAATTAGCAAGAAGTATATTAAGCAACTAAAATTTATCAATAAAAATGATTGGCTTTTGTGACTGGTTGGAAGTTCTCTTAAGTTAATCTATTAATATTATTGTGTTACTTTTGTTATCCAGTGTAGTTTGTATTAGCAATAACAGGCTTGATGACTTACGTCTTTGTTTGATCCATTAATTTTACACTGTTGTGTGTTTAAATAGTATTTTAAGAATCTCCATATTGATTTCCACAGTGGCTGCACCAGTCTACATGGAGAAGCATTCGTTTTTCCCCCACAGCCTCTCCAAAAAGTAGGATTAGAAGTTCCATTTTATTCAGCTATTCCACTCCTGGGTATTTTCCTAGAAAAACTGAAAAGGTCATGTCACAGCGATACATGTGCATCCATGTTTATAGCAGCACAGTTTGTAATAGCTAAATCTTGGAAACAACCAAAATGCCCATCAACTGCAGAATGGATGAAAAAGATGTATTTTTATACAATGGAATAAATAGTATTTAAGATTCTAGATGGAGAGCTAATATGTGGAGCATCTGAAATCATACCAAAACACTCTACGCTACTTGTAGAAATGTTTTTAATGAAGACTGGCTATTCAAGGCCATTGAAATGTGGAGATCTGGTATTGGATTGTAATAACATAATCATTTAATGCTTTCATGAAAGAAATTGGTATTAGTAAGTTTAGACAGAAAGCTGATTCATCTAGCTGATTCATAAATCTAGATAAAAACTGAATTGCTTTTCACCGAGGTGTTTCATCTTCACTGTAATTTATCCACATAATAATTGAAAACTTTTGGTTTATATACTACATTTTTCATTTTCTTTTTTTTCATAGAAATTGAGAAGTGAAGGTGCTCAGTCATGATTTAAGAAGGAAAACTAGAGACTAGATAATAACTCCATTAAAATATATAAATTCATACGTGAAAAAGAGACGTCAGAACTTCACTGTCTTCAATGTATAATCCCCACAAAAAGCTCTCTACTGTTACTGATCTTTATTAGGAGTAAGAGGAGCTTTTCCAGAAATCAGAAGGAAGTACAATTTTAGAAGGAAAGAACTGTCAGCACAGTGCATGGTGTCCTTTGTAAGAATTATTTTTTTCTGATTCAAGTTGACTGCAAAAAAATTCTTTTTCTTGTGAGTAAATGAACTAATATACATAAGTATTAAGTATTAAAACAATCTGATAGAAGA